TAGCCTGTTGTTCCCGTTTGGTTTGGCTGCCTCTGATCATGTTTTTGTGACTCAGAGCTCTTAATCAGTGGTTTAAAAAGACAAAACAGGGGAGAAATCCCACCTATTACCCACAGAACAACACTGCTGGCTGACCTTGACGTCCAGTGCTCTGGCTATTTTTTTTATCACAACAACCTGCCAACCTGGGCTGGACTTCCAGATAACTCATATGTCTTTTCCCAGTGTCTTTTTGAAGTTGAATTTTCCATTCACATTTTTTCTTTCCCTCCCTATTGCATTAATTCCAGCAATTCTCACAGTATTCTCAGACTCCCCCCAGACGATATTTTCCCGGGACCTGAATGTAAAATTTGGTTGCACCAGATGTGAAAATATGTTGCAATTACAATAAAAATCCTTAAAAACACACACACTCACATCTGTACCTATTCTAATCTCCATACCACTTTCATCATGTCTTGTTTTTTTGTTTGTCCCCAAGTGTTTTTTTTGTCCAAGTACCCTGAAATCACAATTTGCCTTATTCCATTTTTAAAAAGTAAAGTTATTAAAAACATACACAATAAAATAAAATCAAATAAAACAAACTGTGGTACATTGGTCTTGTTTCTTGAGGAAACGAGGAAATGAGAAGTCAGAAAAATGTGGGGGAAAAAATAGGACACCATTCATCCAATGTGGAAGGTATCAAAGTAGGTGAGTAGAAAGGGCTGATTTGTCTGATTTTTATCAATACTCATATAATTTCCTAGAAACCTGTCACTGCAAATGGATTTTTTTTTTGTTTTGGAATTCAGTCATTCTCTTGTGCATTTTGTTACACAATCATATGCCTTAAATCATGATCTAGTTGGCAACATTTATCTTATCAGTATTGGACTGTGTGGGTTCAACAGGTTGCGTAACCCTGAGATCACTCTTTTTTCTTTAAAAAAAATTTTGTTTCTGTTTACTGGAATTGCTAAGGAAGAGTTTTATTCTGTTACCGCCCATTCATATATTTCTATTGCTGCTCAGGGAGTGGCAGTGCTGTGTTAAATGCTGTAAGTCATAAACCAAAGTCGAACTGGATAAGAGTCTTGGAACAAATTCTTTGTCGCCAGTATCTTGTCTTAATCACTTTACGTCAGCCTGTGAATTATAATATTGCTCTATTTTTTTTTTCTGCATATCATCGTTTGACTACACGTTTGCTTAAACGAAGAGTTCCACACATTTTTCTTCATCATAAAATAAATCTTCACATTTATATCTATTGAGAACAGCTCCTGGAGGACTGATTCTTTTTCAGCCTCTGGTGACTGTCCACTGACTTCTTGTAACACTATTAAGAGGCTGACATTTATGTTTTCTGTAAAAAAATAAAAATGCAAAGTGTTTCTTTTCTACCAGATTTGGCTTAGTCACTCTTGTGGTATACAGGATACACTTTGTGAACCTTTAAGCTACCACAAAACGAACACCTTGTAATAATATGACGAAGACAATACCTGCTTAGCATTAGCATTTTTAGCATCACTATTGTCACTGGCATTATCATTTAGCTCAAAGCAAACCAATAATTTTGGAATAATTTTTTATCAATGTTTTTATAGTTAC